CCAAACTATACGTCTCACACTGACTCACACTAAAAATAGTGATGGAACAGCACACGAGGTTCTGTCTGATAAATAAGCCGAGACAAAAGGACACAAAGGAGCAGAGTCGCACCTGAGGTGACACGAGGTTCTGTCTGATAAATAAGCCAAGACAAAAGGAGCAGAGTCGCACCTGAGGTCACCAGAACATCTGCTCACTAGTCCCCTCACTAATGGTACTGTGTGTTTTCTGGTCTGTTAAACAACTTTTCATGAATGGATGATTTTAAAGTGAATAAATCCAACCGTCCTGTCCCAGGTAGAGCCTTATCACTGTGGCCAGGAATCAAGTCCTCTGGACCCAGCTTGGCAGGTCCAGCAGGCACCACCATGGGCGGCCACACGGCCCTGACTGTGGTTCACACCCCAGATGTTTACTTTTTTTAAAAAAAGTAGAAAAAAACTGTCTTCAGTATTCTGTTTTTTTTACTTTGGCTTGGAATACTTTAAAAGATTCAAAGTATGTGTGTGTATATATATATAAATATATACATAAACACATATATGCCCACATATATATCTACATATAACTTAAGGGACTTAAGTTACCTAGGGATTGATCAAGTATTTGTGCCTTACTTTACTGCACATAACTGTATTTCTATGGTAGACCTAGAGACACGTCTGGTTAATTTAACTGTTTTTAATGAAAAGTTTTTAATTAAAATCACAGAGTGACATAATGAGGCTAAAGAACAAGAGAAAAACCAAGGACTAGAAATGTGTCTTTTCAGCGTCTGTAACCCAGATATACAGAAACAGAGAGAAAAGTACCTTAAAAGTTACTTCTATTCACAGTAGACAGTAACTTCAAATCGCAGTACACACACAAAAAACACACACAAAAAAAGGTCTGGAGGGAGAACCTCAACAAACACATGCCTGTGATATTACTCAAGCCCAGGAATTAAACTCATTTTGCTCCAGACAACTTGATGTGTGTATCAGTTGTGTGTGTGGTCTGTGGACGCCATATTTGACTGGCTTTCAGCCTCACTGAAAGGGAACACTCTGGCGGTTTCATGGCGCTGCAATTACACCTCTACACTCCACGTGTTTACATCTTTACTGTGATAATAACCAGTGTTACACTGAGCTGGCAGCTGCCACCTCCACACCGTGACTGAGCGGGACTTTCTAACCTGGTGCCGTAACAGTAACAACGGCTTTGTACCGCCCTCTAGTGGAGAAGGAGGAGAAATGCTTAACAATTGTACATACCGGTTTAGATTTTGGGGAAGACGATGATCCTTCATAGTCCTTCTTGGTCTCAAGGATCTTTTTCACAAGACCACCTAGAGTAGAAGGAAGGATCTTTTTCACAAGACCACCTAGAGAAGGACAGACACACAGAAGTGAGAAATGCTATCAGAGAGAGAGAAAGAAAGAAAGAGAGAGAGAGAGAGAAACAATGAGAGAGAGAGAGAGAGAAAGAGAAACAACAGAAGATTCTACCATGTTTGTCTCCACTGTCCAGCTCACGTGCTGGATCCTGTAAGAGACCAGAGACAGATGTTACTCCCAGAGTTATTTGTCCACTCCACATGTGGACAAAGCTGTGGTTCGTGTCACTCACAGGTTCCACGTCAGGAGCTTCTGAAGGTGGAGGGACGGCCTCCTCCACCAGGAACTGCTCATCTTCGTCCTCGGACGTTTTCTTTCCATCCAGAATGATGGGTGCCGAGGACTTGGCACTGGACAGTCTGGAAGACAGAGGGAGAGCAGGAGCAGACGGGAGGAGGTCAACTGTGTTTTCAGAACCACATGTTGGACCACAGTGTCAGTCACATCGGTCTAAGAATGCATCGTGAAGAGGACGTAAACACGAAAGTCAGAAGATCACCTCTCAGCGGCGCCCACATCAGCGTGACTCTCCTGCCTCTTGACTCGGGGGGGCGCGGGGCGAGCGCTGCTGGGTCGGGCCAATCGTTTGTTGCTGGAAATTTAAACATTTTAATGGAGTTTTAATGCAAATCAGGCGCTAAAACAACCTACCGTGTTCACAAATTATTCCCTCTGACTTGAAACAACAACACGGTCGTTTTTCTTTGGGGTTTTTTTTTTTTTTGACTGATTGTATAAAACCGTTCTCCTTAAGCAGCTCTGTGAGATTAGCCACATGTCTGGTGTGTGACGGCTGCACTGAGTCATTCAGATCCTGGGATAAAACGCGTTGCTTCCAACAATAAACTTTCACAGTATAGAGAATAAAAACATCAGGACTGGAATAACACAGCTGCCTGACAAATTTCAGCCAATTACGGCGTTAAAGAACAGCACGCTGACAATTATCCAGGTTCAGAACGCTACTGAACTGAGTGAACTAACGCAGCCAATCCTGGAGTCTTTCATCGAAAAGGCTTCGACAATAAGACACAGTGACAGGTCCATTAAAGCCACTGGAGGAATGTAAAAAAAAACAAATGCCCTAAAACACACTCTGCTTCCATACTAGGGCCGTGTATTGGCAACAATCTGTTCAAAAGTCAAAACGAGTTTCTTTAAAACTCCACACTCCGACCACTCTGACTGCCTGTATGTTGGTCTGGAACAGTCTTCACTGAAGTGTCTACAGACTGGACCAGGTGCATTATGACACTAGATGTTATTGTACATACAGTATAAACACTCAAACAACCAAAAATGTGTCCTCTACATACAGCTCACCTGGAGGTCGCGTCAGACAAAGTGGAGAATCCTGCAGCGTCAGCAGACTGTGCTTCTCCATCTGTGGAGGACAACAGTGACCTGTCATCAACACAAAGACATTAACTGACTTATTGAAACTGTCTGAACACAGGGAGTGAGGACACTTACCTCCCTCACTGTCTGAGGCATCTGTGGAGACAAAAGACAAAAAAAAGTTGCCTGTAATCTGAGAAATGTTCAATGTAGATACTTCAATAACCACAGTATATATATTCAATTTTTATATGCTTATATAATTGAACTTGAATTTTTAGGGAGCAGCATTAGAACCAGCAGCTTTAATATGTAGAACAAAGTGAATAGAATAAAATGAATCATAATTCTAATTATCCACTGCAGCCTTTTCCTTTCCTACATTTGAATATCATCCTTTAATATTCAATTTCTTTTACACATTTTTTTATCTAAACAGATTTGTAATGGATGATATCGGAAACCATCTACGTGATTTACTGCTCAGTTATTTCAGGTCAAACGGGCCAATCAGAGATCGTTTACCTTGACCTCCAATCTTGGGTCGTCTCCTCTGCCCTTTGGCAGACGAAGGCCGGGGAATTCTGGCTGGACTGTCTGACTGTGAACAGACAAAACCACAGCATGTCATTTTTGGTCCTTATTGTACAGTTAAATACAACAAAAACATTTTTGGTCCTTATTGTACAGTTAAAAAAATACAACAAAATAAAATGACACAACTAATATTTAAACAAATATAAAGTGCATTTACAGTAAACCTCCTGATGAGCTACACATCAGACAAACCTGTACTTTAAGCAGTCAGTAAATACAACTTTCTCTTATTTTGAAAAATCAAAGAAGTATTCCACAGACTTTTATTTTGACACAAATCTGGGGTTTAGGTGTTTGTAGCAGAGACATAATAAATCATTATCAACACTGATAAGTAGTCAATGCAAATAATGTGGGGTTTTTTTTTGTGCAGCCCATAACCAAATGCACCTGGTTGGAGACCTCAGCTCTGTAGCGGGATGCTACAGTGCTTAGGTGCTAATAAGTAACAACTAACATGTTGTAAGACATTTAAAATCAAACATTAAAAGTAAAAGCATCTGTGCCAATGGAACGTGTTTGTGTTACCTGGTTGTCAGCTGTATCTGCAGCCTGTTCACAGTAAAGAACACAGCGATATGATTGGTCAGAGTCAGTGCTCACACGGCACATTAAAAATTAGTCAGAGTCAGTGCTCACACGGCACATTGAAAATAGCAGCAGTTAAATGAGCACAGAAACAAACAGGCACAGCTTTTCAACAAGTGGTAAAAACACACTAGATTAAAGAACGGCCGATGACGACGGTGGAAGTAAAAGTGTAGTTTTAGGATGAAAAAAAAACATGTTTGTGTAAATGTCACTCACAGTTACAGGTTTGACTGGAACACTGGGCTCCTGAGTGCTGGGTTTTTGATCTGGTTCCTCCGACACTTTGGTCTGTGGAGAAACACAAACATACGACGGTGATCATTAAATGTTTTTGTTGTTCTTTTCAGGTAGGACTAGATTCACTCTGAAAAACAACAAAACAACAGAACTGAGCTGCAGTGTGGACGGGGCCTCTAAACTACCTTACTGCTGCCGTTCTCCACGTTCTTCCTCCTCTCCTCCCCGTCTTTGCGCCGCTCCCGCTCCTTTTCTCTCTCTTTTCGTTTTTCCCTGTCTTTTTCCGACTCTCGCTGCGAGTCGTTCTCCCTGGTCTTGTCCCGCTCTTTACTCCTCTCCTTGTCCTTCTCTTTGCTCTTCACCTTGTCCTTGACTCGACCTTTGTCTCTGTCTTTATCTCGCTCTCGCTCTCGCTCTCTGTCCCGGCTCTTGTCTTTGTCCCGTTCCCTGCCGTGGTCCCGGTCACTGCGGTGTTGTTCATCGGAGCGCTCCCTGTCCCGATGGCGTTCCTTTGTTCCGTCTCTGCGTTGACCCTCCTGCTCCTTCAGCTCGGGGTCTTTCTGCTCACGGCTTCCACTGCGCTCTGAAATCTTTTTCTTTTCCCAAAAAAAACCCCAATAATTTAATCTTGCCAGAGACAAAGGTTTGGAAAAACGAATCTCAAGGTAAACTGTGCAGTGAAAAAAACTGTACCTCTCTGTCCACCGGACGTTCACGTCCTTCCCTGTTCTCCTTGTCCTGGGACCTGGAGGTGCTGGCTTTGGTTTTCAGGTCCACCTTTTCTCCTGTGAGTACCTGCTTGACAGCATCATCACTGGAAATCTGCAGGGGGAAAAAAACTCTTAATAATGTAGTAATGGAAACATGAGGAGTGGTCGGTTACATCCAACAGAAGAGTAATGCAAAATAATTGATGTTGAAGGTATCATGTTTTGCCTAATTAAATACATATGTAGATATATATTTATATATATATGTAGTACATAATTGTGTTCTTCAGACCTTGTTAAGGCAGCATTTAGCAATGGCCTGCAGCAGTTCATTGGTTTTCTCCGGCTCCTGTCCGGCCACGATGCGCGCCGGCTTTGCTGCCAAAGGCTCTCCGGTCACCAGCATCACCACATCTATTGTTTTCTGTAGGAAGACTATCTTGGCGTCTTTCTCCTACAAACAAAACAGATGATGACATCATCATTTGGAGAGAGAGAGAGGCTGTGATGGTGAAAATAAAACAACCCTGGTGGGAGTACATTTTAGAATAATTAAAACCCACGAGATATGTGTGTCCTTGCAACACAAAGTACTCCAACCGTTTACCACAGCACAGTAGACAATATATGCAGCTAGCAGCTGTAGTGTAGTTGAGAATTTATAGGGATCAAAGTCCAGCCGTTTCTCCAACAACTGAACCGGGAGGGACCAACAAACACTTGGTGAGTGTATTAACAACTACTTTCTCCTATTATAAAATAACTCTGCTAGCACTACACGAAAAAAATATATAGGTTTACAAGTGAGTATCTGGTGCTTTAGGTGGCAGTGGTGGAAGAAACGCAAAGCCTTTATTTTTATAGGTGCCGACTCCAAACAGGAAATAAGAGTTGTTCACACTTTGATTTTCAAATGTGTTGGGCTCTGTGCTGTAGCTACAGTAAACATTAACACGCTTTGCAAAGTTGGAATGCACAGTTTCCACATGAAAATAAAGTGTCTCAGACAAAATGGAATAATATATAGTTGGTAGATAATAGTATATTATTTACTACAAGACAAAGTATAGCATTTAACATTCATCATGGAAAATATTGAATCACAAAAAAAAATATTTTATCTGATTTAGATGTTTACGCTTCAAAACATGATTAATTCATTATTAAGTGTTGATATTATGATGAAAATGCGCATTTTTGATCAGTAACTGCTTTCAAAGTTATTGGTCTGAAATGAAATGTTTTCCTCCCCTGGTGCCACACTTCTATATACAGTATTTACGCAGAGGTCCAGTCATAGGTCAGCAGATGTAGATGCCAACACCTTGACAAGCCTTCAGTCACGTCAGACCAGATCCTCTCACTCAGTGTGTGTGACTCAGACAGAGTGTTAGGTTTCCTGCTCACACAGACGCACATGAGACGGTCTGATGGAACACAGAGGTGATAGTCTACACGAGCGAAGACGCTGCCTAGTTCTGGTCAACACACGGACTGGACAATCAGTTATTTACATTATATTACATTTTTAAGTCTCTTCCACTGTTTATTTGATTGGTGTACTGTGGTATTTACAGTACATCTGACAGGTAACAAAGTACCCAAATCAAATACAGTAAATGTGTTGGTGTTCAGAGGGTGAAACAAATACAGTAAATGTGTTGGTGTTCAGATGGTGAAACATATAATAAATATATTAAAAGTGAATTTTAATTGATGAAATTGTGCAACCAATTAAATTACAATAAACATAAAGAAGTGATAATAATGAGAATTAGCTATCATAGAGTAAAAAGGCTGATGGTTTTCTTACCTTGACGTTATCTGACTTCAGTTCATTCTCTCCATACAGACCCTTCAAAAAGCCAGTGGTCCTGATGACCTGGAAGTAAAGACCCATATTTTTTTTCTCGCTTTGTCTGGTGTGTGTTAGTAGTATTAAAAAAAAACTTGAGTAGCACATCACTGTACATTAATAACTTGTGATGTTAATCAGAATGTTCTCTCTGAGGAACAATCCTTCACTCAAACACTGTAATAATAAGACTATTTGGGGTCAACATACAGGATCAGGTACATTAAAAATACAGTGAAATATGACTGCATCAACAGGTTTGAACTAGAACACGTCAGTACGACTGCTGTGAAAGGTTTTCATAATAAAACCAACCAATAATCTCATTTAAGATGACAAATTCCTTTCCTTAACTTTAAATACGACTGACTTGGACTGTATCTGAACAAAAACAGAAAGCTTTCTAGACGAATCCGTTCGAAATTTAAACTGTATCGATCGATATTAACGCATCGGTGACGACGTGGATATTTAAATTTGTTTGCACAAACCATAAATACACACTCAAAAGAGCTTTCCGTAGAGTGTGTCCTCTATGATTTATATGTAGATACTAAGGAACAATAGGTTTTCTTGACATTTATATCGATAATAAACAACAACTGGGCCTAGAGTTCAAGTGTAAAGATGATGTTGTTTTTCTTCGTGGTTGATATTGGATATCATTGGTACGCTACTGTTTTACTTGTTATACACTGGATGTCGCGAGTAAAAAGAATACACATTTGCGCATTTTAAAGAGCAATAACAATTGTTATTTTAAAGATATGCTTTAAATAGTAGTTCACAAAAAACAACAACCAACGGTTCTGAGTGGATTAAACGCGGGTTAGGCTGTGCAACTAGCGACTGGACACAGCTAGCTAACAGGCTAACACATGTTACTAACCCGTAACAAGTTACCTGTGACTAGTTTAACTTTTGGTGATTGTTGGTGCTGTTTGGTCGATAATTACGTATTAATATAAATTATTTCGCTTGTAAATGTCGGTGGCTAACTGACTTAGTCATTTCAGACGACCGTTGATGTGTTAGCTCGCTAAGTAGCTCATCACCTGTCTGTTATCAAACACCGCCCCTCTAGCACGGTTCTATGATAAGAATAGCCGAGGTCGACCGGGCTGTAATCTATAATAAAGCAAACGCCACTTTTCTGTCCACATCACTTTTCGGCCCTGTCACTCACCTCGCTTAAAATGTCGTGGAGATATCGAAACGGAGGTTTGTTTAGCAGCTTCTCAGTCAGCGGCGGTTTCCTGATCACTTTGCCCAGAGTGTCCTGGGTCTTTTTCACCACCGCCGCATTCATGACGCCGGTTGGGGACAAAAGAGAGCGGTTAAAGCGCAAAAGCGACAGCAAAACAAAAACGAAGCAAAGAGGAAAAAACTAAGTTTACTCTGTCGCCTGGTTGCTATGTCGACATTATGCTATCCCAGAGTGCATCACTACTGGCGACTACGCACGCGTAAAGAGCTGATCGTTGCTAAGAGCGGCTTGTGTCTATAGCAACGGCTAACAAAGCGGGATGGATGGATGGATAGATACATAGATCCGATTATAACGGCAATATACTGTATATATGAAATAAACAACACTATTATACTATTATAAAAGCCATTTTCTGCAGCTCAATGTTTACAATTATGTGGCTGCTATTATTGTTTATTGATAAATATATTTTTACAGGTATCTAAAAATATATCTATAAAAATATATCAATAAACAATAACAGTAGTGATAAGCCATTAGGACTAAACAGGTGAATCTATTTTTTTTACAAGTGACAACTGGTACGAATGGAATTCAAGTTATGTTAAATAATAGTTCGTGTTGGCCTGATTAAAAAAACAAAACCGGTCTGTTTACTGTGTGCGCAGCCCATTGGTTTACTTGGGTCACATGGGTACTAAGAACACGAAGAAGAATCACCTTTATTTAGATTTAGTCTTAGTTTTTTGACAACACACTATATAAGATATTTAAGTCTCGACTAAATGTATCTCCAGAACTCCCATTGGAGTCATTCAGAAACATGCCCTAACCACCGAAGCCACTTTTGAAACTTTTCCATTTGCCGCAGCTGTGGATCAACTTCCGGAGTTATCAGCCTACTTGGCAATATGATTCGTTCTGATTGGATCTCTTCTCCATTCGTCCCGCCCTAATATTTTCGTCTCATTTTGATTCGTTTATCCATCCATTATATTTCGTCCTTTTAATTTAGTTTTCATCCGTGAAAAAGAGTTCGTTGATGAATATTTTTTTTATCATAGATTTCGTCAACAAAATGAACACTGAGAACGACATGTTTGGATTTTTTTTCTTTTTTTTTTTTGGGTTGGGCTGGTCTTTGTATATATGTCACAGACACCCGCGGGGCAAACATTTATAGCAAACAGATTTGACATACCGGTTTAGTGAGTTCGGGTGACAAAGACAGGCGCCGAGGTGAGGGAGCGCGCACACGAACAGATTAACAGAACACACACATCGGTCACATAAACTGTCAAGGTAAGAGATTCACTCTGTGAAATCAAACAACACAAATACCTGCTGATTTTTTTAACCTATTTGTAGTAAAAATAGGAAATGTTGGTTATTATGTCAGAAAAAGATTTTTAGGCTATTTTTTGAAGATTTAAAAAAATATATGGTTCAGTATGTTGTCTATTTTATTAATACTGCATTTAGGAAATTACCCAAACAAATAATAGTATTAAATACTGTACTTTTACTCCGATCAGCCTCATGTATGCCACAACAAATTCCTCATACCTGGCTTTAAACATGTTCCTGATTCTGATTCTGATTCTCATATCAACCAATCAAATTGGACGGACACGTCTGCAGCTGCAGCACAGATTCCATATGTACTACATTAACCTCTGAGACTCTTGTTTTTGTTCTGGTTGATCTTGTTTTAAGGTGTGAGTCCTGATTGAAGACTTTTGTCTCACTTGTCTCTCCTGCCGTCGCTGCAGTTCCACGAAGGTAGAGGACATGAAGTTTCGCTGGCTCCTGCTCACTCTGATCTTTGGCGTCTGTGTCACTGCTGCTAAGGAGGAGAAGGAGGAAATATATGAAGAGGATCCAGATCACCTGTCCAGAGGTAAAACTGTGTTGGCATCACAGAGGTCTCAGAGAAATCAAACTTCTGTATAATCACCGTGACTGCTGGTCTCTGTTTCTGCAGGCTGGGGCAGTGAGATCCGCTGGTCCAGTGGCTACGAGCCCGCTCTGATAGAAATGGCCGCCAAGTAAGAACTCCACTCTGATAATGTTGCCTGTGAGAGCAGAATTTCAATGAGCCGTTCTCAGTCTTATCATCATCATCAAACCTAGGCTCTACCAGATGATGTGAAAATTAATGAATTCACCAAAATACCCCAGAAGTCAGACAGCTGTCATCAATGGAAACGCTCCCGTCCAATCACTGGGTGCGATGTGCAGATCAGTCAACGTTACTAAAAAAAACTTTTTTTGTTATCGATGATTGCATTTTTTACAACAGTTCAAGTTCATCTCCACGGTGTGTTCCTAATTATCTCACTCATGGATCTGTGAGGATGATGAAACAGCTCATTGGTTTTATATTACAGATGAAAATCACAACCTCTTCAACAGCTCATTGGTTTTATATTACAGATATGAAAATCACAACCTCTTCTGGAGCCGTGCTCCACCACAGGATTGGAATATTAGGAATAGAATATTAGGAATTCCTAATTAGATCATTATTAAATACCATTATAACACTTAACATATTACTTGGTGTACTTCACTACTGCAGTACTGCTGAATATTTGAACTGTCTGTTTTTTGTTTTTATGTCTCTTTGACAGTAAGAAGCCACTGATGGTCATCCACCACAAAGACGATTGTCCGTACAGTCAAGGTATTACTGCACACTCAGAGTACTACGCAGTAGTACTGTGTTTGTTTTCATTCCGTTCCAGTTTTATACTTTCATTCCTTAATAAGGAAATGAAGAAATGTTTTTAGTTCATCCTCGTCTGGAAGTCAAACGACTGAAAATCGACTCCAGTAATTCGTAACATTTTTACTAACAAAGTCACTACGTTTGGTTTTTACTTCAGACTTTAAATGTTTTATTGTTTAAATAGTTGTTACTGAGTTTACTGAGAATTAACAAGGAATGTTAATGACAATAATTAACAGTCAGCGATGAGATGAAGATACACCTGTGAAAGTACTGGTTTGTAGCCTGGCTTTTACTTCTCTGTTTCTCTGTTAGTTTAAGGTGAAAAGACAAAGACACATCTGTCTGAGGACTCTTTGACTGACCCTTGACCCTTATGTTTGTCTCTACAGCACTAAAGAAAGCATTTGTTGAAGAGGAGTCTATCATGAAAATGGCCCAGAAGGATTTCATCATGGTCAACGTAGTGGTAATTTCCCCTTCCCATTTACTCACAACTTATTTCCCAGTGTGAAACCTGGACTGGTTTAGTTGAACACTAATGCTGATTTACTGGCAGGAATTAAAAAAAGACATAAAAAATCTTCCATTTCCATTTTCTTTCAGATTAATAGCTATTGCCACCTAGTGGAAGAGAGTATTTATTAAGTCCGACAGATCATTAGAAGTGAATAAATAACAGCTTTCAGATCAATTAGGGTTAAATTGATCACACTAGTGTGTCATTAACCACACTTTATTTTTTATCACAGGAGGAGACCGGGGACCCCAACATGGCTCCCGATGGTTACTACGTCCCCAGAATACTTTTTGTTGGTAAAGTCAAATCTTTTTTTCTGAATTCACCCCACTGACAGGATGGTGTCATGGTTACAGTTGATTGACGGCTGTCGTTTGTGTGTGTGTGTGTGACCTGTTTCTGTACAGACCCCTCCTTGACCGTGCGCGCCGACATCAAAGGACAGTACTCTAACCACCACTACACCTACGAGCCCAAAGACATGGAGCTGTGTGAGTGGATCTGTCATCACATCTACTGTACTTCATCTGTAGTACTGCAGTACTGCAGACCCACTGCTCCACTCAAAGGGAATCCTCAGGCCACAGATTATATCATAGCAGATCTCACTACTGTTTTGTTAAAGTTAGTTTGGGTCAACACGTTTCAATCAGAGTTCAACCTTTTCACACAGACGTCAGGACGGTGTCGGTGAAAATCCTGACGTGAGCGGCAGCGCCTCCAGCCGCAGCGGCCTTTATTTTGAAACAGTTCCATTAAAACGAGACAACAGTGGCCTTTATTCACCAAGTGTTTGGTTTTTCTGTTGGTGGCCTTTATTCACGTCAATGTTTTTTTTTTCTCTAACAGTGGCCCAGAACATGGAAAAAGCCAAAAACCTGCTTCATGATGAACTGTGATCCCGACCCAGACTGACGTCCGACGTCTCTGCTTCCTGCGGTCGTACTCTCAGCCCTGAAGTGTTTACCAGCTCCTCGGAGAAAAATAATTAACAAAAAAAACAATAATTAATACAACAAGCAATGAGTGAAAAAAATTAAACTTAATTTAGTATTTTACTTTTTTATATATAGAATTGCAAAGTTCACTTTTAAACAACAGGACACCAGATTTATTTTTGAAAACATTTTCATGAAAGATATTTTTTCTAAAGTTATTTCACCTCCTTGTGTTTGTGTTTACTTTATTTTGTTGAGAAAATTAAAGAACAAACCAGAAAAACGTTACACGTTTTGTGAGATCAGATCCAATAAAAGTATAAACTAAAAAAAAAAAAACTGCGATGACTTTGTTTTGTCTACACAGGAAATTCTGAATAAATATAAATGTTAAATATAGACCAGAAATGCAAAAGTGATGTTTACTTAAAAACGTGATTTAATGTAAAAAAAAAGTGGTTTGTAGTTCCTTTTAGCTCCGTTGTCATTTGCTAACTATTCAGTCTAGCCAGTGGCAGTGGCCCAATCTTGCCACCAGGTGGCGGAATAAGACACGTGATTTAATGTGCAGGTTGTGTGTGTGTGTGAGTGGAGTATAAAGACGTCATCTTGTCACTGTCACAGTTGTTTAACTCAGTCAACATAATTACATTTATACGCACAGAACAGGATTAATTAACTGTGTTTTCTCCCCTCAGATACGAGTCTGCTGCTAATCCGTTTAACACGCTCAGAGGTTTACATCTGCACAATGGGAAAACATGCTTGGTCACATCTCAAAGCGTGTCTGCAAGGTAGGAGCACGTTTTATCTTCTTTCTAAAATGATTTAATGGAAATGTTTAATATGCCTTTCAAACCAATTCTATGGTAGACATACATGCATTATTTTGCATGACATTGTTAAAATAAAAGATGACAGTATCAATTGATACTGTTTTGTGGAAATATCTATGTAGTAAACATTTAATGTCCCAAGAATAAACTATATATTGTTTATATATTATTATTATTTATATATTGTTAGCTGTATATTTGTATTGCATCTTACCATATATGTTGCTTATTTAAGTATTATGTATTTCAGCATTTCTATTCCTAGGGTAGATGTACACTCACCGGCCACTTTATTAGGTACACCTGTCCAACTGCTCGTTAACACTTAATTTCTGATCAGCCAATCACATGGTGGCAACTCAGTGCATTTAGGCATGTAGACATGGTCAAGACAATCTCCTGCAGTTCAAACCGAGCATCAGTATGGGGAAGAAAGGTGATTTGAGTGACTTTGAACGTGGCATGGTTGTTGGTGCCAGAAGGGCTGGTCTGAGTATTTCAGAAACTGCTGATCTACTGGGATTTTCACGCACAACCATCTCTAGGGTTTACAGAGAATGGTCCGAAAAAGAAAAAATATCCAGTGAGCGGCAGTTCTGTGGGCGGAAATGCCTTGTTGATGCCAGAGGTCAGAGGAGAATGGCCAGACTGGTTCGAGCTGATAGAAAGGCAACAGTGACTCAAATAACCACCCGTTACAACCAAGGTAGGCAGAAGAGCATCTCTGAACGCACAGTACGTCGAACTTTGAGGCAGATGGGCTACAGCAGCAGAAGACCACACCGGGTGCCACTCCTTTCAGCTAAGAACAAGAAACTGAGGCTACAATTTGCACAAGCTCATCGAAATTGGACAATAGAAGATTGGAAAAACGTTGCCTGGTCTGATGAGTCATGCGCCATGTCATAAAGCTGGAATCATCTCAGACTGGTTTCTTGAACATGACAATGAGTTCACTGTACTCAAATGGCCTCCACAGTCACCAGATCTCAATCCAATAGAGCATCTTTGGGATGTGGTGGAACGGGAGATTCGCATCATGGATGTGCAGCTGACAAATCTGCGGCAACTGTGTGATGCCATCATGTCAATATGGACCAAACTCTCTGAGGAATGCTTCCAGCACCTTGTTGAATTTATGCCACGAAGAATTGAGGCAGTTCTGAAGGCAAAAGGGGGTCCAACCTGTTACTAGCATGGTGTACCTAATAAAGTGGCCGGTGAGTGTATATATATATACTGAATCTGACAGCTGTGGCAAATTTAACATCTTTATTGATTCAACAAAGAGAAATTAAAATAATTAAACATTCCATTGAGCTAACTGCCGACACACACACAGACACACACACTCAGTCAGTCGTCAACTTGACTTTGGCGGTGGAACTGTCTTTGTCAAGGACACAGGACCATTAGTTCTTGTTTGCACAGTGCTTGGACAATTTACTTATTCAAATACAGACGGCTTTCTGGGAAACGGCTCCTTAATGAAGAGATGGCAGGGCAAGCCGACACAAATCTATTCTTTCCCACACGCGCACACACACACACACATACACACACACACAGAGAGAATGTTACCGTCCTCTGAGAGAAAACCAGAGCCATTTTGACCAAGTAAATCAAAAAGGTCAGAATGTAAAGGTCAGCGTTTCCGACTTAATTTTTTTAGGAATGATTCTGTCAGGTTTAAGGAGAAGAAGTCATCATCTAGAAAGGATCCACTCTGACCAATGAGGGCCTGAGCTCTTCTACCTCATGACCTCAGTATGATCAAGGTGCCACAGAGTGAAGGCCAGTGATGACCATGTGACCCATGAATGTTCAGTCGACTGTCTGTCTTGTCAGGTTTAAAAAATCTCCACAGTCTTGAATGAGGCATCATTTCAGGGAGGTACACCATGAACGCCATATATAAAAGTATATATTTATATTTTCATACATAAATATGTATACATATATATACTATATCTCTTAATATGTGCACAGAAAAAATCATATATACATAAATACATATATATTTATATACATATATCCATAAATATACATATATAAATATATGCATACATATGCATATATGTACAGTACATATGTATGTATATATACTATATCTCTTAATCTGGCACATGAACACTTATATATACGAAGACATATATTTATATACATATATGTTTACATATATGTATACATATACACATATATATACATATGTATATATGTACATATATACATATATATGTATATAGATATACATTTATATCTATATATATACAGTCTATATATACAGTATATAGATATACATATATTTGTATATGGTCCTGTTGCCACCATAGAATAAAGGAAGAACAACATTTGCTCCTGTACTTCTCACAGTGGTGTGGATGTAAAACCCCAGTCACAGTCACTCACCTCAGTACAGTAGATTTATTGCTGTCGGACTCGTCTCTCTGTTCTTTTGTTATGATGATAATGTGGAGGTTTTTTCTTCCTCACAGGCGACGTCTGACATCAGTGTGTTCTGCATGAACTGTTTCACATCCATTTGTTCTGATGAGATTCTATTCAGGGAAATGTGGACGGTTCCAAACTGAGGAGGAAAAAAAACATCATCATCATCAGCAGCAGCAGCAGAAATGTTTTATTAGTTGATGATTTACCTGTCGTGACCTGAGGCGTGAACAGGTCTGTGTCACCGCAGCTCGTCGTGTGGTTCTCCCGTTGAAGTCAAGTCCAGAATCTCAGTGTTTTCTGCTCCTTGCCTCATTATTTATTTATATTTTCAGGTCATTTCAAGTCCCAGATGGACAGACTTACTCCGTACTTATGTTCATTTCTAATCTGGAAACAGGACAATAACTATCTGAATGGACGACAGTACCTGTCTGTACTGCTGTACTTTAATGTTTTGGGAGACAGTAAACAAAAACCTAAAAATGAAACGTCACGTTCACCATCATCGACAATAAGAAAAAAATAATAATGTTGGTATTTAAACTACAGATCTAAAATGAAAAAAATTAAGCGTCTGTTAAAAATCCAAACCAAAGACTCCGGTGGTTGGGGGGGGGCGTGGGGTCAGAGGGGTGTTCTGTGGATAACAGTGGCCGAGGCGGAGACCGCTCCGACCATGTGACTCGCCACATACATCAACTCTGTTGAGCAGAAAATTGAAATGGAAATGTGGGCCTTGAAAGAGTGCGACTCCCATTTACCTCTGGACCGGGGCTAATGATTTGTCATTTTTCTCCCCGAGGTGCTCGCCGCTGCCCCCTGTCACACTCTGACTGCACTGAAGGTCCTGGGCAGCCTCTCTTCTGTCCTCCGCTCTGCACGTCCCTGTTCACAGCCGGGGATTATTTCCAAGGTATTTCCTGTTCCTGTTTAAGTGGGATTTAAATCATTTTTATAACTGGTTAAAGTTTCTGATTGGTCAATGAAAATAAGTCACACCAACTCCAGTGTCAAAGGTCACCTCTCCGTTGGGCCTGGAGTCAATCCCAGCATGCATCAGGCTTCAGGTGTTAAAACACCACTGGTCACATGACTCTTCTCCGCTGGAACTATTTCTCCTCTGCTTCTAGATTATGTACTTTATAATCTGAAGATTAAACCTTTGCAGATTAATCAGTTTTCAGTGGCGCCGAGTGTAGTAGATGCCCTCTAGTGGCCATAGATGATATTGTGTTTATTTCCATTATAAGGACCGGCCAAACTACTAAAAAATGTGCGACTTATACTCTGGAAAATACAGGGATTTTTAAATGTACTAGTGCAGTTAAGTCATGGACAAGTGTGCTTATAGCACCCCCTGCAGGAGAGGAAGATATAGATTAGCCCTGGCTTTATAATCACAAAAACCCATTTCTAAATACCCTTGGAAAAATTCAACTAAATACTGGAGTACACATTCTGACAGTTCATCATTTCACGACTGTGAGGAAAACACAACATCACAACAGAGGTTTACAGATGACGTGTTGTCAGACAGAGACACACCCACAAGAAAGAATCCAAGACTTGTGCAAAAGTAAACTAAGAACTCTTTTATTCTTTTGTCCATTTTATAGATCTATCTTTAGAAGTTTTATTCTTTTTTTTTGTTGTTTGTTTGTTTGTTTCTACACGAGTCCTTTAAAAGTTTGTCATCATGCTATGTGCAGCTTCAGTGTCAGTAAAACATGCAAGGTTGTTGGTTTCTGTGTGTGAGGGTTTCAACTCATCAGAGAGGTGGGGAGGAGAGGAGGGGGAGGAGGAGAAGGGGGAGCCCAGAGAGGACGACTCTGGTGAGGTTAGGTCTAAAAAAAAAAAAAAAAAAAAACAGGAAAATTAAATTAAAACAAGATATAAATATTATAAAATTAAACCTTCTACTGACAACAGCGACAGGGAGGGAGGGGAGTCGGGGGAGGTGAGGAGGAGGGGAGAGTCAGAGTCCCTGAATACGGAGGATTCACAATGGGTTAAGAAGAAGAAGAGATTCAGTTCAGCTGCAATTGCCGTCCGATCCAGAAGTGGGGGCAAGTTTTTCATTATGACATCATCAGTTGACATCTTTAGTGCAGTCAGCGGGGGAGGACGGGGGAGGGGGTGAGGGTGAGGGGAGGCTGGAGGACAACTTGGATCAGACCTCCAGTGGGTGAAGCAGTGACGTGAGGGGAGACTCCAGAAGTATTGCTGGGGACTTTGGGTCTGTTGGTCTCTGGGCCACTGGTTCGGCTGAAGTTCTGACTCGAGATTCACTTCTCATAAATACAAACAAAATAAACCCAGAAAAAAATAATAATAATAAACTGGAGAAGCTTCACCGATGACCTCAAAATGCATATATATATATATTTTTGTTTTCTCTTTTCAAACATGAAAGGCTACAACTTGGAGGAGACCTGCCGTGGCTCCGTGTTCGTGCCATGCTTGGTGGTGAGCAGTGAGTCACACAGTCACTAGAACTAATTCACTGAGGAACATTTACAACGTGGTCACCGCAGTAAGAGGGAGAGAGAGTGAGGTTCAACTGTCTGAGCAGGAGGAGGAGGTGAGGGAGTCAGGGGGTGGGGGGTCGGGGGGGGGCAAAGGTGGTCCCCGTGGTTGTTTCTTATATACACACTAACGACGACACCGCGGCGACAACGACGGCAGATCACAATGTACAGGTGGTCACCGTCAGCAGCAGGACTGACCGGACTACAGACGCGTCAGTTCCCGTCACTGTCACTTCATACATTTGTTCTGTACAAATCGGAGAAAGTGCCTTTACAAAAAACAAACACACAGTAAAGGGTTCGTTTCCAAAAAAGAGTGAGACGGAAAAAGACAAAAAAGAACTCAGAGACAAATCCCAGGATGGACACCCGCGGACGGCGCCGTCTTTGGTGGAGAATCCAAGGAGTTCTGTCGGACATTTTTGTACAAGGACTGACTGCAGAGACGTCCACCCAGGACGGACACTTCTAACATACTGGTAGGGATGCACCGATCTACGAGGGGGAGGGGGCGGGGGGGCTGACCTGTGTTGCTGATCTATTTACTCAAACTCTATGTTCCTGCGTCAGGTCCTGTTTTAGAAAAGTGAAGTATGGAATTTCTCCGACACTCCAGAAAGTGTTATTATTATTATTATGATTTTACAGTCCATTCTGAACCAGTCCTGTAACTTAGTCCTGGTCCCAGATCAGTTCATGGAACTGTTTCAGTTTTTAGTAGTTATAGTAGTTACTTTAGTAGTTATTGGTTATATTTTCAGGTTAATAAAATTTATTAAAATTCATATTAAAATTATTATCTTCACTGGGCTTTTATGGTATTCCAATAGGAGACTATTAATTACATATTCATTACTATTATTAGAATTCTGCCAGTAATAAACTCCTCATTAACATAAACACACACAGTACTAGTTAAGTGTTGACCAGAGGCTGTGACAAATCCAGCTGGTTAAGACAAGTCCTTTATTCAGCCGTCATATATTTGACGACACATCTTCATCTCTGAAGCAGATCCTCGTTCCCAGCTGCAGCCTCTGCACTGAACGACGACTGACTTCAACAATAAATAACGTCGGTGTTTGTTGATCTGTTAATCTGAGTTAAATAAATCATTTGTTTCATCATTTTGTGTAAACTAATGTGTGAGTCCAGTCTGATGGTGAGGTAGAGAGTTGGTGAATAAACAATGGTACCAGTTATCAGTACTGGGACTGGACCAGTGGGATCAGTGCACCCCTACATACAGTACCAGTACAGGTCACCAGATGAACATTTGTTCTTCACTTTTATATATATTTTTTTACTAACCTACAGACTGCATATATGACTCCCATATATGACACTAGATGTCGCATCTGCTATAATAGATGAGATGTCTATTTATTCTATTGTCATTTTTTTCCTGCTTTAGCGCCCCCTATATTAAAATACCCCAATAAAAATAAAAACAAAAAAAAACAAAGAAACTAAATCCCTGCCCCGAACAGACACGACTTTACAGGAAAACTAGAAAACAGAGATAAAGATTCGAAGCTGCCTGTGGAGGAAGTTGCTGGCATTCATTCAAAAAAATCATTCACTGACGGAGGCGAGCGTGCGCCACCGTCGTTTTCTGCTCTGCAGGCCTACCAGTTAAGTTCCCATGCAAAGCCATGGCTTAGATCAAGAAGAAAATACAACGTGCAGCACCTCCCAAAACATGTTCCCAGACCCAGGCGAGGAGAGGAGTCGAGGCGACCCCTAGTGTTCAAGTATGGAATGAGTGTGGCCTAGCATCACCTACAGGACGAATGGATAAATCCACGGATAAGAACAAGGGATAAAATTAGATTTTTTTTTTTTTTTTTTTTTTTACTCATCCGCCCTTTCACTGTTCTGCCTCCAGGCGGCGACCCCGGGTCAGAAAAGTGAGTTTTTCCCTCTTTAACACCGGGGCTGACGGCACACACCGAGACAAGGAGAAGAGAAATAAAGAACGTTGACGACGAAACGTGACGTGTGAAACTGGTGAAATTCCAGTCTTAAAATAAAAGACACGTGGATGAAAACAGAGAGTAAAACTAGAGGTCGCGGCCCCTCTGAGGAACGACACAACCAGGAGCTACAGTTATCAGTGAGTCTAAGCACGTTTGTTTGTTTGTTTGTTTGTTTGTTTGGACCCTCAGTGTGGGCTGACTGTGGTTTTACAGACTTGGGTCAGGAGGTCAGAGAGAGAGGGCGGTGGGGGTGAGGAGAGAGAGAGGGAGGCAGGGAGGGGGAGAGTGAGTGGGTCAGGACATCCTTAGTCTCTTCTCTCCCTCAGGGGCTCAGGGTGAACTGGTCTTGCTCGATGGGTTTTTTGACCCAGGCCCCGAGGCCGGCCTTGTGGAAGGCCTTTATGAGCGCCTGCTTGGCGGAGTGGTACTCTGTGGCCGCCTGCTTGGCATCGTGGTAGGAGCTGGGCTTTGGAACCTTGATCCTCAGGACGGATGACAGCTGCAAGAGATGAAGAGGAAGTGATGTCATCAGTGCTGAATGAACCGTTAAGGCTCAGACTGGAGGGAGCAGCTGTCAATCAAACACACAATCGTCACTCTGTACTGCTGTCAATCAAACACACAATCGTCACTTTGTACTGGAGCGTCTGCAGTTGACTGGACTGAAGGGTGAGTTAAAAAAATGAAAGTGCCCTGAGACTAGTCAGTGAAAACCAAATAACCACTAATAACAGTAGTAGTCTACAGACCCACAGTCAGGTCTTTAAAAATGGAGTGTCATTTTCTCTGTTTCATTTTCATTTTGCTGCGTCATTGAACATAAATATGAGCTGTGACTCAGTGACATAAATGAGTGTTAGAATATTTACTGTTCATCTGAATCTTCAGTCTGGAAGATGTGAAACTAAAGAACAGCAACAACACACACACACGCTCACACACACACCGCTGGTCAGTGTAATGACTCAGCAGGACGGAGGCGAGTGTTTGTTAACAACTGAACACAGTTCATTTACCTTGGAGTGCAGGCGCACCCAGCGGCTGTAGAGGGCGTGCTTGCAGAGACGTGAAGCGCGGCCCATGTCGTCCTTGCCTGTGGTGGCATTGATCACCTCTAACGCCTGATCGCCCACCGTCCAGTTCACGCTGAAGTTTGGAGCCTTGCCTGGCTGCCTGGCCTCGGCGTTGCTGATACCTGGAGAAGGAGAAGGGCGACGCCCACAGTCAGAGTGCGACCAATCAAATCGCTCCTGTTATTCTCACTGATTGCATCATTTCAACACCATATTTCTTGTTGTGAAGCAGAGCGGGGGGGAAGGAGAGGGGTCTACGATGTCAACAATGGTGAAATAAACAAAGTTAGTTAACTATAACTAGACTAGTTAAATTAGTCAATAATGATATATAATAATTTAGTTCCTTATTTGTCCCACGGTGGGGGAAATTTACAGTGTGAAGTATTGCAGGCTGCCACTAGAGGCGCCAATAGGGATATGTGTTTCCTCTGGGAATTGAACCCAGGACTTTCTGCTCTCTGCCTACAAAGTACCAAGTTTCAGTTTCCATATCGGAACCGGGTCGCCAGGGTAAAAACCCGGAATCTGAACCACTAGTTAGGATGCTAATTAAGATGCTAATTAAGATGCTAATTAAGAACTATGCTAGTTCTTATGGAAGAATCAATGTCTGTAAACTGGATGGGACTGAGCGATGGCACAAAATCAGTCAGCAACAAATCTGAAAACAAATGTTCGTCTACTCAAGGTTGTTTCTGCCAAATTGGCCAAAACAAACACAACGAAAAAAAATATAAAAAACAACTTTGGATAAAAACTCTGCATTTTCAGCTTCTCCAGAGCACTTTTATTTTCCTGTCTGTAATTTTGTCTTTTCGTGAAGACAAACCGTGTCATCCTCTCAGGAGGACAGAACTAAATCTCCTCCAACACCAGCACATTACGGGGCTTCGGCCTCCACTACATCACAGACATAAATGGCAGATATATGGACGCTGTAAATCTGCTGCGTCTTGTCTTTTGTCTCTGTGTGTGTGTGTGTGTGTGTGTGTGTTCGTGCTTGTCTATTAGACTCCTTGGTTACATCTGGCAGCTCCTGTGGCAGACGATGATTTAGAGCAGAAGAATTCCCCGGCGCTCCGGCAGCGAAACTATTCACTGCTAAAAACTCTCTAAAGCGGAAAAGGTTAATAACCCTCCAAATAATATGTCCTTTAGCAGACTGCCTAAAGAGCAGCCAGAGGGGAGTGGGTGGGGGGGGCAGGGGAGGAGGAGCAGGTGCAATTCTCTGGGCTCATTCCAAAAACATCCATTAATTCTTCTCTCTAATTTGACCACAGGTGTGAATGGTTGTTCTCCCTTTGAATAAACATCTGCCTTACATATATATATATATTTATAATATATATACATATATATATATTTATAATATATATACATATATATATATATTTATAATATATATACATATATATATATTTATAATATATATACATATATATATATATTTATAATATATATACATATATATATATTTATAATATATATACATATATATTGAGGTCCAATACAAACATATGACAACGTGGACGTAATCATGTTTCAATCTATACTATTTTCTCCCTGACATTTTTTTAACGTAAGAAGTCGTTCGTTAAAACCCTCACCACTTAATAAAGGTCTGTTGAGGGTAAACTGCTGGGGCAGGTCCTCGATGTCCGCGATGCGCTGGTACATGGCCCGGGAGAGGTGGTCCGCGTGGTACAGACTGCCCAGGATGATGCTGGAGAAGTAGATGGGCTCTGAGAAGTAGCTCATCAAAGAGCCCTGGATGCCCACCACGTTCCACCTGCAGGGGGCAGCCAAACAACCAAGAACATGAGTGTGGAGGAGATTTGGCCAAAAAAAAAAAATTGTATTTATTATAGTAATATAAACAATAATAATAATAATAATTCACATGATTACATTTGGAGAATATCAGTATATAAATCTGTGTTTGGATACAGAAACAACAACGTTCCTGCGTTTGCAGCAGATTTTTAGCCTGAAGTCAAAGTGGAACTCTAATATTTACTTGAATAAAGGAAGTGCAGAAGTTATAAAACATCTACACTCTACGTCGAGGACTTCATTTCTTTTCAGTTCAAACAGTAGTTGCAGCGTCTGTAATTTCCCAGTTCTATTCTCAACACTCCTCTCCTCCAGTAACAAACGTTTTGTTTTTCTTTCCAATTCTGCTTTTTAATGAACAAAGTTTGTCCAAAAAGTACTTTGTCAAGCACAAAAAAGTCAATACACAACGTGTCACAACAGCATGACAAAATATATGTTGCACACACCCACACACACACATATATATATATATAAATATATATATGCAGTCAACTGCTCACGGTCCTACAGCTGTGTACACTCCAACTTATCCAATTTCATCTTCTACAGACGTCGGTGTGTTTCCATGCTGT